CGTGCAGTTTGCAGTGTTTCCCGCAGCCCACAATGTTCCCGCAGCTTGCAATATTCCCGCAGCTTGCAATGTTCCCACAGCTTGCAATGTTCCCACAGCTCGCAGTGCTTCCCGCAGCTTGCAATGTTCCCGCAGCTCGCAGTGTTTCCCGCAGTCTGCAGTGATTCCCACAGTTCGCAGTGTTTCGTGCAGTTCGCAGTGTTTCGTGCAGTTTGCAGTGTTTCCCGCAGCCCACAATGTTCCCGCAGCTTGCAATATTCCCGCAGCTTGCAATGTTCCCACAGCTTGCAATGTTCCCACAGCTCTCAGTGATTCCCACAGTCTGCAGTGATTCCCACAGTTCGCAGTGTTTCATGCAGTTTGCAATGTTCCCGCAGCTCGCAGTGTTTCCCGCAGCTTGCAGTGTTTCGTGCAGTTCGCAGTGTTTCCCCGCAGTTGGCAATGTTTCCCACAACTCGCAGCTTTTCCCACAGCACGCAGTGTTTCGTGTACTTCGCAGTGTTTCCCGCAGCTTGCAGTGTTTCCCGTAGCTCGCAATATTTCCCGCATATCACAGTTTTTTCCAGTAGCACGCAGTATTTCCTGCAGTTCGCAGTGTTTCATGCAGTTTGCCGTGTTTCCCGCAACTCACAGTGTTTCGTGCAGTTTGCAGTGTTTCCCCACAGTTGGAAATGTTTCCCGCAACTCGCAGCTTTTCCCGCAGCACGCAGTGTTTCTTGTACTTCGCAATGTTTCCCGCAGCTCGCAGTGTTCCGGCAGCTCGCAGTGTTTCCTGTAGCTCGCAATGTTTCCCGCATATCGCAGTGTTTCCCGCATATCGCAGTGTTTCCCACATCTCACAGTGTTTCGTGCAGTTAGCAGTGTTTCGTGCAGTTTGCAGTGTTTCCCACAGTTGCCAATGTTTCCTGCAGTTCGCAGTGTTTCCCATAGCTCACAATGTTCCCACAGCTCGCAGTGTTTCCCACAGCTTGCAATGTTTCCTGCAGCTCGCAGTGCTTCCCACAGTTCACAGTGTTGTACAGTGAATAAACATTTGACATCTATCCATATGCACAAGCACCTGTTACATTTACATTGTAAATGGATTTACCATCAGATGTAAAATGCTAAGATCAAGCAACTGTAAGCGAGCTTTTGACAAGACCATGAACTTTAAAGAGGTGGTATTATGCGAGAAGTGATGGCGGAACAAAAATGCTTGAATATTGTTGGAGTTGAGGAGCTCAGCAAGTGGCGTGTGAGGCCAGCCAGCCGCCCGCTCACAGAGCCCTCTGCTCCCGCCGTCACACAGACCGCTGCAGCAACAACGGCAGAGGAAAACACAGCTGGAAGGTTTTCATACCGCTCATCTGTCTTTACATTCTGAGTAATATTGAAACATTTTAACCGTAGATATATTTTAAGAGCTGGTGTGTGTGTCGCATTGAACATTACGTCACAGCAATTGTGTGTGGCGTCGCTATGACGACAAGCTACGTACTATCTCTGGTTACTGTCTGCACTGGAAAACGGAGCAGGGCTGAGTAGAGTCAAGTCTATTGATTTGTGCTATGGTAGCATTTTTCGGCAAGGCAGCATAGATCGTCAGAACACCGGCAAAAGGAACAATGATGTTGTGTGGTTGTGGACTAACTTATACCATCTGCTAGGTTACGGTCGCAGTCTGAAGCGGCTTTGATTTGGATCACACTACCTTATTTCTTACGACCCGCCCTTCTGATTGGCTAGTAGTCCTTACCTGAGAACTCCACATGTGCAACTCCCAACAAAGATTTTGTACAAGTAAGATGCATCACTCTGTAGCTCAAGAGCAGAGCGTACAACACATAGGGTGAAAAGAGGAACTGCAGCAATGTGCAGTATGAGAAAAATATGGTGTTTTTTGAAAATTAAACCATGTAAACGTGTTCTGGTACAATCCCTAATTAAGATTTTGAACCTGAAAATGAGCATAATACCACCTCTTTAAAACCAATTCATCAAAGCAGCTTTTAACGACTGAAATGCAATCTGAACCTCTTGTACATCCTGTTCTATGAAGGGAGCATGTGTATAAATGATGCTGTGTCATCAGCATAGAAGTGTATTTTTGGCTTGAATGTCCTTACCTAAGTCATTTATAAAAACAGAGAATAGGTCCCAAAATGGAACACTGATCCTCCAGTTTAGTTATCTCAAGAAAATCAGATTTGTGGCCATCTGCATGGACACACTGAGTTCGATCTACAAAATAATTTCTTAACCATGTCACAGCATTAGCACAGAACCCAACATCCCGAAGTTTGTACAGCTACAAATCAATCCACAGAATCAATGCCATGGATAGATCCAGAAATAAGGCAGCGCAATGCTGTTTTCTGTCAAAGGCACCAATAACATAATTTATCATCACAATAGCAGCAGTTATGGTACTGTGGCCAGTTCTAAAACCAGATTGAAAATGGTTTAAAATATTCTCCAAAGAAGATTAAAGTCAAGGGCAACCAGAGATACTAGAAAATATCTTCAACCAACTCTAGTTGCCCTTGACTTTAATCTTCTTTTGATAACTATGACCTGGATGACTGAGAACCTTCACAGACGGTTTGAAATATTATCAAGTAAAAACTGTTTTAGAGATCGGACAGTAGTTGTTTAGCTGTGAGGGGTCCATACCTTTAAGAGGAGGAGAGTCTTTCCTCTAACGTCTGTTAAAAAAAAAATGAAATTTATAAACTAAATGCTTTTGGAAGAAACATCATGCCTCCTCCCATATCTCACAAATGTTTGGTTCTTGTTAGACAGTGTGCAGGACGGTTTTACTATGTGATTACCGTCCAGTGCTTCTACTGTGATTCAACTGATGGGGGGGGGGGGGGGGGGGGTGAAAGAGAGAGTGAGGCAGAGAGAGAGAGAGGGAGAGAGACAGCAAGGCAGAGAGAGAGAAAGGTAGAGAGAGAGAAAGGGGGAGAGAGAGCGAGGGAGAGAGAGAGACACTATTTTACATTAATATCACATTAATAAATACCTTTGCGTTTACATATGTACCAAAAGTTTAGATCAGCACATCTCAAAACTTAACTGCCCCTCTGTCACAGAACAGAGCACATCAGTCAATCAAAAAACAATTTAATTCTGTTAAAAGTTCTGTTAAAGTAAAATACAATTTGTTGCCGTTTAAACAGCCCACAGTTTCCCTCTCTTGCATGTTCAAGGCAGACGAGTGATGACAGGGCCACAGCTGAAACTCATTGAAGCGTAATGTGTTGAATGGTAAGTAATTTTATGCGCAATTACACATATTTGCATTCTCTCAGGATTCTGTTAGTGATAGCCTACTGTAACCGAAATCTGGAAGTCCTTACTCTGAAATTTGAGCAGTGTTGATAGTACAGTCTGTGTGCCGAGGTAAAGTTAGCTAGTAGCTGTAGCCTGTCACTGATTGAGTAGGCTTAAATGTGGGAGTAATAGGTGGCCAGGCAGCCAGGGAAAACGTCTTGGCAAGACAACTTAATATGGCTAGCTACTTTTATAAACTACAAGTAGCTACGTTAGCCAGTTAGCTGGCTATGATTCAGATGAGAAGAAATACTAAAGATAACTCGCTAACACACAACTTAACTCTTGCGAGGATTAACTTAATTATTAAGTTCATGTTACTTAGAAATGTGTTTTATTGTGGCCAAAAAGCTTCTTCACCTAACTTAAAACATTATGTTGGATCAACTTAAATACTTGCATTCATGTTGACAATTATTAAATTCATGTTACTTAGAAATGTGTTTTATTGTGGCCTGAAAGGTAATTCACCTTACTCAAAACATTGCTTTGAACTAATGTAATTCTGCCAGCAGTCTTAACTTAAAAATTCTAGTGGAAAATGTTAACATATTTTTCTCAAAAACAAGAACCAGATCAACATCTAACCATTCCTCCACCTTCCGTCTCCGGGTCATATACACCGCCAGCTTTGCCTGTCCTAAAACAAGTTCAATAGCTGACATTTGTTCTTCTTCCAGCGAGTGTATCTAAAACCACAAATAGATAGAGGGAGAGAGAGAGAGAGGGAGGCAGAGAGAGAGAGAGAGGGAGAGGCAGAGAGAGAGAGAAGGAGGCAGAGAGAGAGAGAGATGGAGAGGCAGAGAGAGAGAGAGAGGGAGAGGCAGAGGGAGAGAGAGAGAGGGAGGCAGAGAGAGAGAGGGAGAGGCAGAGAGAGGGAGAGGCAGAGAGAGGGAGAGAGGGAGAGAGAGCTTCAGGCTCTGTAATATCTCCTCATGAATAAAAGTTAAACCTCCAACACACATATTGTAGTTATGAATATATATGAATATTAATGTGTGTGTGTTTCCTCTCTTCCTTCAGTCTTAACTCCCCCCGCCTGAGAGGTAAGGATGGAGAAATCACAGTAACCCACAGGGATTTTCCTCCACTGCACTGATAACACAGCTCTGCCTGCATGAATCCAGTCTGGTGACAAATAACTTCATTCAAACAGCTGCTGGCTCAGAAACACTTGACTCATTTGGACAAAGTGAAAAAACACATGTAAATATTTCAGTTTGTCTGATTAAATCTGCTAATGAACTCTGATTATTAATCTCGTGTTGCTGTTATTTCCATTCACTGAAGAGCAATAACACAGAGAGAAAATTAAAATCTATTTATATCAACAGCAGTGTGCCACGTAAACACAAATCTTTTCCAAGATCTTCTGTTCAGATTAATATATTTATTTTATACATTTCAGTGTTTAGAAGCATTTTAGGTTATTACATGCCTGCAGACAGTAAGATGTCTAATCTGTGTTTGATAAGCGAATAAGTAATTATAATAAGCAGCTCTCCATAAACCCTATCAAACTAAAGTTTGGTGTAAAACAGACCTTTCCATGAAACATGTCAGGGGAGAGTGTATGATAGAATTATCATTAAATTTCTTTCAGCATTAAAATAACGAGTAATAATAATTATATTAATGTATATTTAATATACGATCACTATGAAAGAAGTGTTGGTTCTTACCTGGACAGGTACTGTCCTGATGATGGGACCTCGTGTTTGTTGGGTTTGTCGTAGCAGTTCACCATATTCTGGATCAGAGCCAGGTCCGGTCTCACCATGGTTGCAGCGGTGACGGCCCTGGTGACGAGCTCCAGGGCGTCTCTGACGTAGAAGTCCAGCGGTTTCCGCTCCACCTCTCCGTAGGCCAGCAGGCCGAGCGGCAGCCCGATGGCATGCAGCGCATCGGGGCTGAGTGGCTGGCCCAGCACCCAGTGCACCATGGGTAGAGTGAGGCCCAGGTCCTGGGCACTGCGCAGCACCGCTGCCGCACACTGCGGGTCAGCTCCAAACAGCAGCACCGACACTGGTGAAGGCTGGTTCTGTCTGAAGTGTCGGGACAGGAAGTCGTGGATCTGCGTGTCATCATGTGCCGATTGCGTCAGGTTCAGGACTGCGTGCAGGTGCCAGGTTGCCCTGCCCCCACCGTCCCATGATGCACTGCTTCCGCTCTCATCGTCCAAGAGCCGCAGGAGCCCCCGAGACTCCTCCCAGCCCCGACACAGAACCGCAGTACCCTCCCTCCAACCAGACCGCTGCAGAACCGTTAGCAACAGGTTGGACAGACCGGACTCTGGAACTCCTGTGACCATCTGCAGATGGAACCGGTTCTACACAGAACCAGCAGTTACAATCAGGAGAACCAGCAATAGAACCAGTAAGAGAGCCGTTAGGAGAACCAGCAGGAGAACCAGGGGGAGAACCCGGATGAGAACCAGCAGGAGAACCAGTAAGAGACCCAGCAGGAGAACCAGCCAGAAAGCCAGCAAAAACACCAGCAGAAGAACCAGCAGGAGAACCAGCAGGAGAACAAGCAGAAAAACCAGGGGGAGAATGAGGAGGAGAACAGAGTTAGAACATGTCAAAATGGTACAGTGGGTCGAACCAAACAAATCTTCAATAAAACATCAGATAATCAATTAGAAACCACAGATATTTAAAAATGTTGATCTTTTCTGGTGTCTTTAGGACAAATCAGTTCCTGGACCATCAGAGAACCACTAAAGAACCACCAGAGAACCAAATGGGGGTGGCCTGTACTATGTGTACATACTATGAACACAAACTAATAACTGGCCAGTGGCGCTATTGGAACCATGTGTTGGGATCCTGGGGGTTAATCGAATGGTTCTCTAATGGGGTTAATCGAATGGTTCTCTGACGGGGTTAAACTAATGGTTCTCTAACGGGGTTAAATTAATACTTCCTCCCAATGCGACACCTTTAGAGGAACTCTGTGGAGTTTTTCCTCCACAGAGTTTTTACTGGTAAAGCACTAATGCATCAGCAAAGGTGTGAGCAAAACGACTGGTAACAACTAAACATGGAAGCCAACGGTGCAGGTTTCAAATGTTAAAGCTCATTTTGCAGATGTTTAATGAGGAAGGAAATATGTTTATTATGTTAGTTTGAGAGAGAAACACGACTCCAGAAGAGCTTTAATGTCTTTGTGGAACTGAACGTCTTCTAGCAGAGATTCAACAGGAAAGCTGTGTTTCACCTTAAAAGATCTTCCTGCTGTATGAAGATATGTTTTAGTCTTCAGTTTGGTTCCATGGAGACATAGATCTGTTCAGAAAACAAGACATTCATTCATTTCATCTGTTTATTTTCTGAAACTCCGAACTAGGGCTGAGACTAAGGATTACTTTCTCCATGGATCAGGCAAATAAAAAGTCAGGAGTCAGAGTGAAGTCTTCAAATGTCCAAACCCAAAGATATAGAAAACATAAAGTCTGGAGAAGCTGCAGCTATAAATGTGTGCTGTGAAAATGATTGATCAATTATAAAAGCCATTATATTTCTGGTGATGGATGAATTTTGTTGTTTTAACACCATTATAAACATGTTTGTATATCTGTGTCTGTTTATCTGTTTGATAGGACTGTTATTATCTCTGTGCAGAACAGTGAATATGATATGTATATAAACGTGTATATTTGATCTCAGTGTTTCACCATCATCAGCTGTTTGATTCCACCTCTGATTTCTCAGCCCAGATCTGGAGTCAGCAGCTGTTTGAAGGTCACATGAAACCACAGTTTCATTCTGTCTGTAGATGAGTAGACTCTCTGAGCGCTCGTTTCTCCCTGCTGCCCTCCCGTCACCCTAACGGCACCTGACACCACGCTAACAAACACAGGAGACTTTACGCCGCCACTCTCTGACTGCAGAAGAAGAAATAGATCTATTTCAGTCTGATTCTGCTCTGTCTGATCTGATTGGAGGAGCAGTGATGTCATCTGTCACACCTGGAGGTTTTATCCTCCCTGAGCACATCATGTGCGAGCGGCTGCAGCAACTGCCTCGCTTCTTTCCAGCATGAGGTCACCTGTGAGGACACGCTGCAGCTTCTCTTAAATGTTTTTCAGTCAGTGTGGCAACCACAAAAACCAAAGTTCTAGCCAAGGTCCAAACCAAGGTCCGAACCAAGTCCAAACCAGGGTTCAAACCAAGGTCCGAACCAAGGTCCTAACCAGGTTCCAAACCAGGGTTCAAACCAAGGTCCGAACCAAGGTCCTAGCCAAGGTCCAAACCAAGGTCCGAACCAAGTCCAAACCAGGGTTCAAACCAAGGTCCGAACCAAGGTCCTAACCAGGTTCCAAACCAGGGTTCAAACCAAGGTCCGAACCAAGGTCCTAGCCAAGGTCCTAATCAAGGTCCTAACCAGGTTCCAAAACAAGGTTCTAGCCAGGGTCGAAACCAAGGTCCTAGCCAAGGTCCAAACCAAGTCCAAACCAAGGTCCGAACCAAGGTCCTAACCAGGTTCCAAACCAGGGTTCAAACCAAGGTCCGAACCAAGGTCCTAGCCAAGGTCCAAACCAAGGTCCGAACCAAGTCCAAACCAGGGTTCAAACCAAGGTCCGAACCAAGGTCCTAACCAGGTTCCAAACCAGGGTTCAAACCAAGGTCCGAACCAAGGTCCTAGCCAAGGTCCGAATCAAGGTCCTAACCAGGTTCCAAACCAAGGTTCTAGCCAGGGTCGAAACCAAGGTCCTAGCCAAGGTCCAAACCAAGTCCAAACCAGGGTCAAACCAAGGTCCGAATAAAACTCCGAACCAAGGTCCTAGCCAAGGTCCTAATCAAGGTCCTGACCAGGTTCCAAACCAGGGTTCAAACCAAGGTCCGAATCAAGGTCCTAACCAGGTTCCAAACCAAGGTTCTAGCCAGGGTCGAAACCAAGGTCCTAGCCAAGGTCCAAACCAAGTCCAAACCAGGGTCAAACCAAGGTCCGAAACAAGCTCCGAACCAAGGTCCTAGCCAGGGTCCTAACCAGGTTCCAAACCAAGGTCTTAGCCAGGGTCGAAACCAAGGTCCGAACCAAGTCCAAACCAGGGTCAAACCAAGGTCCTAACCAAGTCCAAACCAGGGTCAAACCAAGGTCCTAACCAAGGTCCGAAACAAGGTCCGAACCAAGTCCAAACCAGGGTCAAACCAAGGTCCTAACCAAGGTCCTAACCAAGGTCCGAACCAAGGTCCAAACCAGGGTCCGAACCTTGGTCCATACGAAAGTTAATGTTTTGATACAGTCGGTTTGTTCTAGTTTGGTTTCACATTGCAATAATTTGAGCACACTAAATAACTTTATATGACGTACTTGCATCCTGTTTCCCTATTCTCGACACTGATTGGTTTGTGAGGTGCGTCTGACATCAGCGTGTTGTCAGTTCGGCTGGAAGCTAGTGGCAAGAATGAATGAAAGAAAAATGAACAGATGCATATTGTTACCACTATCTTGTTATGATTATGTAATTACTACCTGTAATACAAATTTTCCCGAGGCTAGTTCGCCAAATGAACGTCCTCCTTGTGCGAACATTATATCATCGCCAGCAGCAAAGGAGAGAGGACAGCAGCCAATCATTTGAGCCCTGGCACCTCCGTTTGAGGAGAGGCCAAACAAACTGAAGCAGCTTGCTTCCATATTGTGTTTAAAAGATGAGTTGTCTCTGTGCATTTCTCGGTGCATTTGTTTGTTTCCAGTTTACACCGGAACCACCAGAACTTCCTGTAAATGGTTTGAAAATCTGAACCATGCAAAAAATGCTTTCACACTAGAAGCAAATCGAACCATGGTTCAGTTTGATCCAGACCTCTTTTCATATGACCATATTCCGGCTGTTCGGTCTGGATTGTAGTCTGAAGGAGGTTTCACACCTGTGATTTTGGTTCGGATCAAACTTAAAGTTCAGAAAGTCCCGACCAAACGAGGCAGCTGTGAAATATTCTTAATCTTTTCAGGAAAGGTTTCCAGTCAGTGACAGCGGCCTCTAGTGGTTTTCAGGTGACATTAGAGGTACAGGACACCCCTCCCTCCCGCTACTGAGGGATGATGAGGGATCACTCAGTAAGGTCAGGACTCAAACCTGCAATTCATCATCTGAGTTCAGGTGAGTTGAGGTGAGCTCTCAAGACACTCTTAAGACACGTCACTTCGGTTCAGCCGGACTAAACAAGGCTGGTGTGAAACTGGCCTAAGACTGCTGTATGAAGTAACTCTGTAGCAAGCTGCAGTGCATGCTGGGAATATTTCTGATGACAAACAGGATTCTGGGCCACGAGGTGACAGGAAGCGTGACGGTCACAACATCTACCCACAGAGGAAGAAGAGGACCAGACCGTGTTCCGTAAAATAACTTTTCTTCTCAGAGTGTTTGTTTCTGCAGACCGAAGCAGGAAAGGGTTCCTGAGGAGAAACTGAAACCAGCTGACTCTCCGCTACTGAAACCTGTTTCTGCATTTTCTTACACAGCTGAATACAGCCAGTCACCCCTCAGGTCCTGTCTGCCCCAGGGCATCCTGGGAAATGTAGGAAACCACTGAGTGAAGCAGAACTGATGCTAAAATTGTTTTCTATTGAGTATTTGCTCTAAATAAGAATCCGTGCAGAAACAAACAGTGAACAAATGCTTGGAAACCGTAGTCCTGAAGGGAGGGAAAGAGACATCCCGCTGATGAGACAGAAGGTCAAATCCAACATTAAACCAGACTTGTATTCTGAGTCCCAACCAATCAATCCAACTCAGAACCAAAACTCACCGAACAATTCACTCCCCTCTACTACAGGCCACCAGGACAGTTTCATTCAGTCTCATGTCTACTGTCCTCTCTCGTGTTAGGGACGAAGCTGCCGACGAGCTGAAACCAGTATCAAGAAGTTCGACAGTCAGGACGAAGCAGGAATCAGAGACCACCAGAGACTGGACCTCTGCCCAGTAACCACTGAGCTCTGCGGGTAGACGACCCGAAAATGGTGAAATGACTTTGTGCTCTGCCGCCCATCAGAGCGCTTTAATACACGTCACATTAACACACTGACGGCAGAGGCTGCCAGCTGATTTTTCACAAACAGGCTCAAAAGATTTTTTTGTCACCAGTTTCATGTGCGAGTGTCAGAACGGCGGGTTTGGAAATTTTGCATTTTTAGCTAAATTGTGAAAACATTTGAAGTAGAAACAGATGATTCGACACATGAAGCGGCTCTGAGGAGCATCAGAATGAGTGAACCCTGGTTTGGATTGCCTTCATTAAAGCGCCATCTTATGGTTGAAATGGACCTTTTTGTGGTTTCCTGGACTTTTCTGACTCCATCAGAACATTTGTAGCGTGG